CACATTCAGTTATCTGACAGTCTGTTTCTATAACACCCCAGCATGCATAAACACTACATGGAAATGTATGTGTATGAAATAATCCCTGCCTAAAATAATGGCCTGTATAGGAAGCAATTTTTTTGATAACACTGCTTCCCTGATCATTTTGTCTTTCACCCCAGCGAGGACTTCAGCAGAACTGCCCCAGATCCCTCAGCTTCCACAGAGCAACCACAGGTATCCTAATGTCTCACTCCTTATGGTCCCAGGAATTAAACTGGATGTTCTTGTCTGCCTTGACATGCATCCCAGCTCCCTGTAACACAGCACGCTGCTGACATCCTGAGGTGCCCACTCCAGCCTGAATGCCAGGCATGGGCTTTCAGGCAGTCAGAGACAGTGCCCAGCACCAGGCTCCATGCTTTCCACAATCCAGCCTCCCTCACACCACTGTCTCCTAATTTATTTTATGGTAAACTACTTGCCAGGCATTGATTGCACTGCTTTCCTGTCACCAGACGCTTACAATAGCAGTTTCCTGTCTCCGAATCACAAGGATTCCCCCCGGGGTGGGTACCCAGAGGATTACATGCACAAGCTAGATTGGGAAATACAAACAGGCAGGTCAAAAGGTAGGATTGGAGTTATATTTTAGACAGTATTCAACTTAAATATATACATTAAAGCTTCCCCTGAATTCCTCAGAACAGAAATTAATTGCACACTTTGCCCACCACCCATCCCAATGAAACTTCCCTGGCTTAGAGACTATAATTGAAAACAAATAAGGAGGACTATGATATTTCTACAGAATACACAAGGATCAGCGGGTGAACCGGGTTTCAAGGACTGGTCGACTCCAAGCTACAGCAAATCTACAATAATGTTTTTCCTTCAGCAAAAACATGAAAGAAAGGGAAAAAAAAAATCCATCCCACAAAACAATTTCTCCCAGCTCTAACAGCTCCTCAAAGAGCTTTTGATCACACATAAAGGAACATATGTTTTTACTCACACTGACAACCCGCTGGGTCATCGGCACTCAGGCCATAAAAACCTTCCTTGCAGAGGTCACAACGCTCCCCTTCAACAAACAATTTACAACGGCACTGTCCGGCAATGAGGCCAGTGGAGAAATCAGTGTAGCGATCGCAGATGCCACCATTTTGGGAGCCAGCTGGGTCACAGTTGCAAGCTAAGAAGGAAGCATTGCATGTGTTTTATTAACTGCTACAAAATAAAAGGCCAAGTCTCACACTAAGTTATTTAAACTCAGCTGCTGCATAGAGAGACTGTATCACTCCTGCAGGTATTAGACACGGAATGGGTTGAACACATTAGGACCAGGTAAATTTCCAGATTCTCAAAGAGAAAATGAAACCCAGGCAGGCTCGCTCAAGACCTCCAAGACAACCACTTTCTCCCAAGGCCATTCCCAGCCTGAGGAGTGGGGTTGCACTTACGCTCACAGACGTCAGGGTCCCGCAGATCTCTTTCTGGGTGCTGGAAGTAGAAGGGCTTGCACTGCTCGCAGTTGCGTCCCATAGTGTTGTGCTGGCAGTCGTCACACACGCCTCCGCTGGTGTTCCCTGTCGTCATGTACACAGCCATGTCGAAGTGGCACTGGCTGGAGTGGCCATTGCAGTTGCACTCTGTGACAAAGGCAGAAAGCAAAGTAAGAGCCTGGTCGTGGGGCAGATGCAAGTCTGCAGAAAAGACACACCATGTCAACCAAAGAACATTCAGGATTTTACACACGGTCACAAGTTCCCAAGTAACAGCACGTAACACTCACAGCATGCAGTTCTGCGTTTTAGTCAAACTCACTTTTGCATGCATTACTATTGCGACCTTCAGCGGGGCGCCAGGGTAAGTCATGGTAGAAATCCAAACACTGTTCACAGTTTAATCCTTTGGTATTATGTCTGCACATGCAGTGCCCATGGACCTGTAATCGAAAAAAAAAAAGAAAGAAAAAAAAAAAGAAAAAAAGAAAGTTGCTTATCAAAGGGAAAAAAAAACATTCTCCAATTAATGTAAAATATAGCTAGTACATAATGGATATACTTTTGGAGACTTTCATCTACGTAAATGCATTTAAAAAGGCGTAAAGGGCCATAGGAGTGTCCTTTACCTGCCAAGGTAAGAATGCCCTCATACAAACTTGTCCTTCTTTCTGTACTGGAACCAGTGCCCAAATAAATGCTTTCAGATATAAACAAGGAGAGCACAGTTCCACCTCAATAATCACAAAAGCCTCTTGGAACTAAAACTTAGCTTTTAATTAGCTGTTAATTAGCTATTAAAATGCATCTAGTTATATCAGCACCACTAGCCCAGCCCCACTTTCCAGCTCTGCCTTGGTTCTCAAAGTAAAGATAAACAGTTTGGATGGGGTTTATCCATCAACCCCAGACTGCCTTCACTGTGTACAAAACAAGCACTAAGTAGACTAGACCTGCAATGATCATGTGACAGCTGCTGCCATAGTCCACCAGAACTACCAGCACTGAAGCCATGATGTCTAAGGCAAAACTTGGGTGTAGTTAGTGACCAAAAGCACAGGGCAAAGGAGCATAATGGGTTTCACAGCATCCAGTGGCCCATGGACAACAGACACAACTTCCCTGTACGCTTCACATTTCCACCCAGTTAATAACTGACTCATTAACAGGGGTGTTATTACTGCTTGTGAGGCAAAAATCATCCAGAAAACCAGACCCCAGAAAGGATGTGACACTTGTGCAGCAGCATACCAAGGAGGCAACTAGGATTTTCCTTCAAGGCTTGTGTTAATTAGGGTTACAGTCTCCACTTCTCAGCTAGTAACAACTGATACAAACACAGGACATGTTTGATTCGCATCCTTTGATGGCTCTATTCGCTCCAATTTTAGGAGCGAACCAAGGCAACACCTGCCTCTGACCCAATAAGGTTACACCCCTTTTCTTCATTCCTACCTCTGAATTTCATCAGCTCTTTAACATAATTAGAAAAGGAACGTTGAAACAATTTTCACCTAATCTGAGATCTCTGATTAACACCTATAAGGACAGATATGTTTGCTGAGAAAGAATAATTAGAACAGTTTTTTGTTTGAAAACCAAGAGTGTGGAGAAGGGGTACAGAGTGTTATCTTTACGTTTGTGTTCAAATCACTCAAAAGAGGCACAGACAGGAAGAGCTTTATGCAAAAACCGTGAATATTTACCATTCCTTCCACTTCTTCATCTAAGCCCTCCACTGGTGCACACTCACTGGCGTGTCCATAGCAGAAACAGTTCCCACGCACCACCATGTCGTAGATGGCATAGTAGTACTTCTCTCGGATCTCCATCCTAGAGTCCAAGAGATTGTCTCCCAGTGTGTGCAGCTTGACGAATTTGACTCTCAGATTCGTAATCTTTAACAGGTCTGCAGGGGACACACAAAAAAAAAATCCCCAGAAACTCACAAAACCCATTTTGGAATTATTTACCAGATAGTGTATTGAATGGGAGGAAGCCAGGAGTGACTTCCTAAGCACGCTTCCTATAGGCAGATTAGATCAGATTTAATTTCAGCACTTACATACTATAGATCACTTCAGACTCCCAAATTAACTAAAAAGAAATTACATTATTTTACTACAGACTGATAAATGTATAAGTAAGTTTAAGTAAAAATACTAGTCTACTTTATTGTAGACATGCGCAGGCACAACTACAAATATTAAAGGCACGCAGAACAGCACCACCAAAGAGACACTGGTTCTCTAAACATGAGATGGGCAAGGACTCGATATTAAGAAACTGCTGACAAGTGGACCAAGAGCCTTAGGAGTTACAAGCCTTTTGGAAAAAGTCCTAGTTGGAAATAAAGACACAAATAATTCTTGTTTTGCGTATGCCCAGCTTTGCTAGCAAATATAATTAGTTACATTTTGTGGAAAGAAGCAACACCCCATCACTGACCAAATACAAAGAAGTTCTTGAGGGATAATCCATGGGAGGACAATATTGCACTAATTAATTCAGTCTACATGTTCACTTTGATATTGTGAATCTTGTGTAATTTCTTATAGCCTTGAACTACACTTGAAAGAGCATTTCAAGCCCATGAAAGCAGTTTCTACTTTAAAATGCCTGTTAAAAAAACCCTAACATTAAACTGGTATAGCAACCAGTAGATGATTCTCTACTGCAGATATTTCCTGCTGCCTGGGTAGCTTTGCACTGAAGGACATGAACTGAAACTGAGAATGCACATTAAATGGGAGGTCAAGCTTAAGGCCAAGCAGTTCCTTCATCCCAAATGCCCCACAGTTTCTCTTTGAGCCACATCAGCAACAGATCTCTCTGCCTTTGCATTCATGGACTGCCACGACCAGACACAAACACTACAGTAAGTCGTGGTTCATGGCCACATCTGTGTAGTTCAGCCATGCAGTGCTACCACAGCCAACTGTTCCAAAGTTATGACTCAAAGCCCTGAAAAATAAAACGTGGACCCACTGATTTTAGCTAGACATGCACAATGATCTAAGTACCTTTGCAGTTCTATTTCTTTGCTTTCTGAATACTGTACAATTACAGAATCACAGTCCAAGGTTTCTCTTGGCAACTGCATGTATTTTGAGAAGAGGGGGTCTTTAATGAAAACAAATCCCTGATCAATTAAGAAAAGGACCAACTCCAATAATGCATATTTAGAGCAATCCCTTGAGTCAACAACACTGATTGTTATTTCATGTCATTGTCTGAGTTAGGAAAAGGAATCATACACAAAGGTATTCATATGACTTCAAAACTGCAATCAGAGCTAATGAATAACTTTGTGGCTTATTGTTTTTTGTAAGCAAGTAAGTACTGAAATACTTTCAAATGAGCCTGAAAGGTAACTGCATACATACTTTGAATCCTTGGACTGTATGGATCTTCAATTCTAAAAGCAGGATCTAAAACACGATATATTACCTGGAGGAAAAAATCAAACAACAGAAGATTCAGCTTTAAAAATAAGAGACAAAAGGTCTACACAATAAACACTTTGGAAAAAAAATGGCTCTGACCTCTCCCTCCGTTGAAGGTTCGATGTCAGAGTATCGGGAATCACAAATTATGTCATCCACTTTCTTCATGGGTCCAGTTGAAATCCCAGGAAATGAGCTCTCACAGTCATATGCAAAATACCTATAAACTTGCCATGTCTCTCCAAAGTCAGACGATCTTTCAATCAACATTGCAGCAGGACGGAATGTCTAACAGTAAGAAAAACAAAAGAGATTTTATTCAGCTAATTATTACTTGCATTTACATTGAGTGCTTTTTAGTGCAAGTAATCCATGTCTGAATTTTAATCTCTCTCCCTCCACTGTTTCCAACATTTGGAAATATTGCGAATATTTTTCTGATGATATCCCACTTTCTGCTCAGGGGCAGATATTTGAAGTAACACACATCAAACCACAGATGACCCATCTTCAGAAAATGGCACCCAGTGGCCAAGTGTTTAAATACACTTACAATAAATAAGTGAACTTGTAAGCTTTTTGGATTCCAAATCCTTTCTGAAAAGTGGGGGTTAAAGCAGGGCTTTAGGGAGACAAAAAGATTCTTTCCACTGCTTGTGGACAGCAGCACATTGTTCTTCACTGCTGTACGTCCTTGCCTAATCTCTTATAAAGGACCTAATGGGCCTCCTCTCCTGCCCTAAGGACTGGGAGGCCACTGTCAGTGCTTCCTCCCCAGCTCTGACACCCAGAAGTTCTTGCTGAGCAGTTACCTCTGATGCTCAGAGAAGCCCTGGGATTGCCCACCTCTCTTTGCCTGACTACATGACCTTTTGCAGTGTCTCTGACATTCAGTGCTAATCATCCTCTGTGCTCCCTTAAGAAAACCTTCTTCTTTAAGGAGATTGAGAGGTTCAGCTTCATCCACTCTTGCTGCATTTGACTCCCCCAGTCTCCGCTGGCCCTCCTCCTGCTCACCTTGCCCAGACTCTGGCAGGCTGCATTTGCTTCACCACTGACAAACTACTGTTCTTCTTACCTTCACATATTCAACTCTAGAACAAATAGTTTATGAGATTTTTGAAAGATTTTAATCTCTCTGACCTAAAAAATATCGTGTTTCAATTTACATGCTGCCTTTCAAAAAACAGGTAGTAACACCTGGCTTGCACCTACCAAGAAACACCAACCATCAATTCATTAGTTTTATGTATTCAGAGGGGGACCTCCCAGAGCCAAGCACAAAAGCATTTCAATCACAGCTGAAAAGAAATTTTCTCTGTGCTTCCTGGCTGAAAATAACACCTGATTTAGAAACTGGTATCTCACCCAACAGAAAATGTAGCAACCCAGAGGTAAGGCAGCTCAAGTGCCTACCACACAAACAAAGTCAACAAATCATTATTAAAAGTATCTTTCCCCTAAAGTCTTCCTCCTGATGGCAGACCAAGCCCCAGCACTGGGGTACAATGGCTGCAGCAGCCTCATCGCGTTAGGGGTTGTCTGGGGGTCCCTTGCTGCTGGGTCCAGCAAGAAGGACCATCTTCCACCTCAGCCACCACCTTGAGGCAATGGGAGAAACCCTAACTGATGCCACAGGAAAGAGGAACCAGCTTTCCTAGAAAGCTGACGGGTAAAAATGAAGAGATTCATTTGTCCACATGGGAGGAGCAGGGATCCAGCCCTGCAGGAACTGCAGCCCCCAAAACCTCAGCTGAAGGTTGCCACTAGCGCTTGCCTGTGATTTAGGATGTACAGGACATAATCTGCCATTCCAAGACATCTGTTTGTAAAGAAACAAAGACACTTTGTGTACAGATGTTCCTTCTTCCTGAAGACCTTTCCATTTGCCAAATGAAAGTCGATACCCTGGCCAATTTTTTTTTAGGAAAAAAAAATCCTTGCTACTATATGATTTCTAGAACACAACCTGGAGACACACCAACACAAACCCCAGCTTCAGTATGACTCCTTCTGCAGCCTCACTAGGGCTCAAACACAAGTCACAACTCAGCCTTTCTGCATGACTTCTGCAGGGGTTAATGGTTGGCAGCTCCAAAAAAATCAGGCCAAACAGCTCAGACAAAACTTAAATCCCAAATATCAAATAGACGCGAAGGACTACAAGACCTCTCATTTCCCCATGTTTCAGGGTTCAGGGTAAGGCTGTGACTTCCTTACCTTGAAGGTCATAATGAGATGAGTGAAATGAAACTCAGCCTCCAGGTTCAGCTGGATAGTCACGTTTTCCAACCCTGCAGGGGCAGAGAAAAGAAGGCGTGCAGTAAACAAGGACACCCATCAGTTTCTACATCTAAATTTTGCCAAAGCTCTTTGCTCTGTTGGCACAGAGGTTCTTTTATTTACCACTGGGCTCTGTTGTAAAAAAGGAGTATGAGGGTTAGTGCATTTCTGAGGTACAAGGGAAGACACCAAGGACCTGCTGAAGAGTGCATCACACATGGGATTCCTGTGCATCACTGGCACCAAACACGCTACACCCAAAGCGTGAGCCTGCACTACCTAACTTCAGGCTGAGTATCATGGCATCACTGGATGTAGGGCAGAGACCAGACTGCAATGGGCTGGGTCCTGGCACCAAAGCACCCAGCAGCTGGTACAACTGGGGATGCTGTGCCCAGACCTACGCAATGACCCCAGGCTGTCCTCACATACTACAGCCCATCTGGCAGCAGAGCTTCTGCAGCCCCAACACCCCAAGGCTCACCCATGTCTGGTGGAGACCACTTCCCACCCTTTTTCACTCAGTCTGGACTCTCCTGTCCACAGTTCCTTCACAACCTGGTTTTGAGATACTCCTAAAGCAACTATCACAGCCCTGCTTTGCAATCACAAGAGCTAGGAAACTGGTGAGAAGCAAAAGGTTTTCCAAACTCTGCTGTATGACTACCTACGGTCAAGGACTCTACACAGAAAGGAAGAAAAACAGCTACAAATATTATTTTGCCTTGTGAAAAGACCTCTCAAAACAGCTGGATACTAATTATACTGTAGTTCAAAATAAAAAATAAAATCAAGATTTACAGAGAGGAGAAAGGGTAAGAAATAAAAATAATAAAACAATAAAGCAGTCAAATTTTCAACCAGCTGTAACATAATGTGAAGGATGCAGTAATGGTCCCTTATGCTGTATGCCTGAATAGAAGAAAACATGAATTGGACAGAAAGAATCATTTGTTTTTTATTGTTGAAGGACATTTTCATGACCTTATGAGCTAAGAACTTTTCTGTGTGAATGCTGCCAAGTCTGTTGCAAGAAACATGAATTATCTGGAATGCTAAAAGAGAGCCACTGGAGGCAAGCAGCTTGCTAGGCTGATCTACATGATTCAAAATGATTTTGTGAAAACCTTTCTATAACAGGCAACAAAACTGTTATAAATATTACTTTTTTTTCATATACAGTAAGGCATCTACTGCCAATGCTTTTGCAGAAATCCTGTCCTGTCCAGCTGGCTTTAAAGCTTCAGGGTAGGACTAGTATTTGAGAAACCTCAATGCCTTGTTTTGTGTACGAAGGCATGCCAAAAGCATAACCAGAAAAGTAAAACAGGCAGAGGAAGGATTAAAAAAAAACAAAAAACAAAAACAAAAACCTCCATCAAACTAACGTGCAATATGTTTTTTAACTGGCTGGCTTTTATATGGAGTTCATTTTATTGTTTGGCATATGGATAAGGGAATTCAGGGAGCCCAGGAGGGACAAGGCAATTTGCAGGGTAAGAGATATCCCTGGTTTTACTCTCCTGGGGTAGGAAAGGGAAACAGGAGGTCTGCAGGCAGGGTGACAGCCCCCAGCTCTGTGCCCAAATCTCCTCCTTCCACAACCTCCCTCCAATCCAGCGGCACGGGGAAGCCCTGCGGTGCTTCCTTGGCAGCGCTGCCTGGGATATTTACTTCTGGAAGGCTGCTCTGCTCCTGCTGCCCAAACATGAGGGAGATCTGAGGCCAGTGTGGAAAACTCTTTTCTTTAGGAAAGGATTCTTGCAATGTGCTGGGACGGCTGTTCCCAACACTCCTGTGGGAGTCCGGGGCTTTCATTATGGATTAAGGATCACTCCTGGGCACACAAAAGCAGCCAGTTTTACTCATCCCTCCTCACACAGCATGATCCTTCACAGGGCAGTAATCACCAGGCCAAAGATAACAGCAAACCCACAGGTATCCTTAAACAAAAGGAGGGAAAACAGCTCCCAGACCCGGAAATGGTTCCAGACAAATCCCATAGCATTTTCCGGACAAGCCCCATACCATTTTCCGACTGCCACCAGAGCTTCAGGCGATTTGGAGCAAACGTGGTGACAACATTTTCAATGCGATGACTGTCAGGATTTTGAGTCTCATGGAAGGGATCCTCAGAGTCACATATGAAACATTTTTTGTCCTCCTGAAACAACACGATAATCAGCATTACTGATTTTATCCGTGGGGCAATAGTTGCTTCCTGCAGATAAGAGTATTTTCCATCCATATCACATTCCATTCATTTTGCCTGCAGGAGTCATCAAAAGGTATTTTTTTTTGTTGAAATACCAAGTGTATTTACCTTTACGAATTAATGCAAATTGTCAAATGGAAAACATGCCAGGAATTCCATAAACTTCATTTTTAGGGGAAGTATGTTTTTTATCAAAATTGCAGTTTCAGGAAATCTCTTCCAACACACGTATTCTCCAGCAGAAGCCAGAACCAAAGGCAGCACCTACAGAAAATTGCTGAATTGCTTCTGTAAAAGTGCACATGTGCAAAACTGCATCTTCAGCAACTTGTGTGAAATCACATTGGCTTTTAGGAGCTAGCTTGGAGATGCAAGTTGTTTGCATTAGGGATACCTCTTGTAAGGCTCAGTGCACGTCAAGGGGCCAACAGTGATTTAGTGATCGAGCCCTTTCAGCACAGGGTTGACTTGACTCTGAATCCGGATTGTCAAAGTCCTCCTTGCATCTTCACCTGCCATTGCAACTCCAAGCACATAAACTCCATCTGCACACACCACAAGGTGTGCCCATAGAAATCCAGCTCAGAGCAAGTCTGGCATCTGCTACTTGGGAAAACCAGAAGCTTCTTCACCAGGACGACGAAACCCCATCATGGCTATTACTACAAACTGTGCTTTTTTTGCATTGTCCTAGTGCCCAAAACCACTACACAATTTTGCAAGGTAGGATGCAAACCAAACCAAAAGGGAGGGTTCCTGCCCAAATCAACTGGAGGAAGCAGATGAGGGAGGGAAGCTCATTGCATGGCAATGAGGGAGTCCCAACACACCAGCAACCCATTCGCTGTCAAAAGCTACACAGGCTTCATTCTTAGAGCACATTTACGGAGACAAACGTGGTGCTTTATCAGCCAAGAATGTGAGAGCTGGCACGTCTGCACCACATAGGCTTTTCCTTTCACCAGTGTGGACTTCAGCGGCTCCTCCCAAGCTCAGTGCTTCACCTACCATCAGTCCTCAAAGACTCCTCCAGCAGAGAGAATGGCAAGAGCGGGGGTTCCAGGGAAGATGTCTGCTACTGCCAGCTCCAGGTTCCTCTGCCCTAGCACCTCATGCCACAATTCACTCCTTCTCCCACCAAAACTGAATCCTAGAAGATCTAATTCTGCAAAGCACTCAATGTGGCCAAGTCTCATGTTATTAAGAGGATACTTGGCATCTTCCCACGATTTCTTCAATACCACCCATGATGGTTCAGAAGTAACCAGGGACATCCTAAATGCTGAACTGGGGCTGTGAGATCAGGAATAAGGGCAGAGAACTTCTGAAGTGAAGCTTTTTACTGTGGCACTTCAACATTTTTTGAGACAACATAACAAAGTGCCATTGTTAGTCCGTTCTACAAGTGATGCTAAGCTGAAGTCAATCTCAATATACTCTGAAAATGTTCCAGTGAAGCTAAACCCTATGTTAAATAAAGCATTAACTCTAGTAGACAGAGCACTATGGTAAAACTAAAGGTGGTGAAGGAGGGGTGAGATTTGATAACTTCAGGGCACAAATGGGTCAAGTGCTACAGCCCCTCCTGCTTCCCGTGGTTTTCCTTCCAAGTGCCAGAATCCGGCCCTATTGTCTCCACAGTAATTTGTTCGGAGATTATCCCTTTACTTTCAGTTCAACAGAGTTCCACTTATAACTGATATTTTACTCTTCACCATCCCTTCTGTCTCTGAGATTTTAAGTTTGGTGAGCTGCTTCTGGCTTAAATAACAACGAGCTCTGGATTTTCCACCAGATGTGCTGAGACAACCTTATTTAAGTCCTTTCACTCGGAGACCATACACATGTAATTACATTATGGGGACTGTGGCCAAAACATTGCCGGGCCCTACAGCCCACTCTCCATCAGGAAACTGTCTAGACGGCTCTCAGCAAGCCTGGAAATAAAGCATTAATTGAACCTACTGTGGCACATTCCTCCTTCCATCCCTCGATCAGGAAAGGGGGGTCGGGAGCCGAAAGCCGCGAGGGACTGCCTGGCACCGCTCTGGACGGTTGGGGATATCTCCCCGCCGGGGGCACTCGACCGCTGCCCCACCGGAAGCCCACTGGCCCGCGCCTCCTCCTCCCAGCGCGCGCGCAGGTCTGGGGCGGCTCGTCCCCGCACCTCCGGGCGCCGAGCGATCTTGCGTCTTCCCCGCACCGCGGGCGCGCCGCCGCGGATGGCGCGCGATGCCGCCCCCGCCGCCTGCACCCAGAGCGGCGGCCGGCGCGGTGCCCGGGCGTGCTAGCTCCGCTCGCCCCGGCGCTCACCTGGAGGTGCTCACGATTGCAAGTAGGCTCGCCGGCTGGCGGAGAGGCCGCAGAGTGGAGGAGGCGGAGAGGCGGGCGGCGCGGCCGAGAGCAAGGTTCGCCTGTGGCCGGGTAGGCAGCTGCCCTCGGCGCAGCCGTCAAGCTGTACTCGGGCTTCCTGTGCCCGCCGCGGGCCACAGCGCTGCCGCGGCGCGGAGGCGAGGGGAGAGAGCGCGGACAAGAGGGTGGAGGGAAGAGGGACAGGGGGTAGGAGAGAGCTGGCAGCTGGTAGCGCGGTCAGGCTGCGCGCCCCGAGCCGCCCCGGCGGGCGGCTGCAGGGGCGCGCCCGGCCCGCCGCTGCACCCGACGGGCAGAGCGGAGCGGAGCGGGGGCGCCGAAGAGTTACCGATGCAGCAGCAGAGGTACAGCGGGGAGGCGGCCCATGGCGGCGCGGGCACCGGCGGCATAGCGGGACGGGAACACGGCGCGGGACGGGACGGGGCTGCCCTCCACGCGCCGCGAAGCTGCTGCTGCTCCGCCGCTCCACCGCAGGCGCCGCAGCTCCGCGGCTCCCGGGCAGTGGCCCGCGCCGTCGGGCGCCCCCCGGTCCTCCTTCCTCCTCCGCCCCACCGCCCCCGCGGGGACCGGCCCGCGCCGAGCCCCTCCAGCATCCGGCGCGCTCGCCCCGGGTGGGTGCTTTGGTCCCCGGCCGCCGCGCCTCTCTCGTTCGCGGAGGCAGGAGCGCAGGGGCGGCTGCCGTCGAGGAAGAGCAGCCCAGTCGGGGTGGGGAGCACGGAGAGAGCGCCCCGGGGAGGGGAACTGCCGCCCCGCTGCAGACAGGGAGCCCCGAGGGAGGAACGCCGGGCTCCAGCCCCTGGCCCCCAGGTTGTGCCCTCCCCGCTGTTCTCCAGCGTCGGGAGCAGGCTCTGGGCGGCGAGCGATAACTGGGGGGGAGGGGGTGAGTGGGAGGAATGACCGATCGGGTGAGCTCTCTCCTTGTTCCTGTCGATGGAGAAACAATGAAGGAATGGAGTTGGTGCTTATGGGGCTGGGCCAGAGAGGGAGGGAAGGGAAGGGAAGGGAAGGAAGGAAGGAAGGATGGATGGATGGATGGATGGATGGATGGATGGATGGATGGGTGATTGCGCGGTAAGGCCCAAAACCCAGCAAAGAACCAGGGTGTTGGCAGCTGTCACGTGTGATGCTCGGTGGCCCCACATTGCCCGGTGCTGCGGTGCCAGCACACGTGGCTAAGGAATGCCGTTCCTATGCCATTCCTGGGGGTGGCGGCCTTGCTGCCATACATGGCCTGGTCTGGCCCTGGCACAGGCAGAGAGGCCCGTCAGATCAGCCGCTGCCAGGCCGTCACTCGTTTCACGTGGTGCTGCCTTCCCAGGGGCGCTGGGGCAGCTGCAAGGCGTAAATGGCTGTGCTGGAGCTGCCCTGCGCTCCCAGCGTCCCGTGTCGGTTCCCTGGGCTCTGCTGGCAGACACGACGGCTTCATCGGCTGGTGGCAGAGTCCCCTTGGCACCCAAGGGGAAGGTTTACTGGTAAATAAATGCCAAGGAGCGGGTACGAAGGATGGACGTGTGGCTGGGAGAGATGCCTGGGTTTATTTATCCGAGGTTTGCTTTCACATACGTAACACATGAACTTGTGTAAATCTTTACCATGTACCAGTGTCCCCCAAGAACACTTTGCCCTCACTATTTGCAGTGCCAGAGTGAAAACACACCACAGTCTGTCTGTCCAGCAAACCCTGCCGAGGTAGGTAAATATGCTCATTCTCATTTTACAGATGGATAAGCAGAAACAGAAAGATACCAAATGACTTGCCCTAAAGGTTAAACACCAGGTCTGAAACATAACCCAAGACTCCTGATTAAAGAACTTGTGGGGCTGTTTCATTAAAGATATCCATGAAGTGAAATCACTCTAAGCTGACAGGAATTGTAATATTTTAAACTTCCTTTGCAATATGGTCTTCTAAATTGACAAAACTAATTCAGTTTCATAATCCCGACATATTTTTCAACTTCAGTAAAACAAATATTTTTGTCCCACTAACAGAAAATGTTTTACTTTGCTGTGGTTAGAACCTCTTCTGGTCCATGGCAGATGAGCAGCAACATCACTCCATGTGCAACTGTGCAAGGACAGAGTGTTTCATTGCCACTGGAATTTTTTTTGTCCCATATTTTTTCCACTTTTATTGAAGTTTTCTCCTTTTTTTTTTTGTCTGTTTCACAGCCTTGTAGAAGTCCTATCCTCTCCTATACCTAAAATTGGGTAAAATTGCCCTCCAAGCTCCCTGATAACTGCTGTGCCTAGGCTCCTTCATGCCTTGCCAGAGACAGCATGCAAATACTCTTTGTTCCAGCCTGGGAGTGACTCTGCCATGTGGCATCAGGGATTGAGTTGGAGTTGCAGCCCCAGATTGGATGGCCACCATCCCTCATAATTGTGGTCACCTTTCAGAGGTAGCTGGAACTACCAGCATTCAGTGTGTGCGTGATTAGGAGCAGAGAACTTGTTTGTGTCCGTCCCTCTCTGCAGTGCTCACAACAAATAGCGAGTGGGAGTATTTTAATTTGTTTCTTCAAATGACAAAAATTCAGTTTTGTGTTGTGCTCTGTTTTTCTGGTTGGTGAAGCAGCTTTACAGCACTGCAGTGTCTGTGCTTGTGCTGTGTTGGAAGTCTTCTCATAGAATAAAATTTCAGAATTTTACCTCTGTGGGATCCACTTGATCACTTGTTTTCTTACAACACTGCAGTGGTTGAATGCCTGGCAGACAGAGCTGATGATATAATTTTGATTAAATATATCTTTGATTATATGTGGGTTTGGTTGAGTGTTGTTTACATTTTAATTAGTGCTATTGAAGTCAAAATGCTCTACTGCAAGATACTGATTTCAATTTTTTTTCAAGAAACAGTTTTCTGAAGCCACTTCTGCCCATGAGGAACAGGTCCAGGGGGAACTAAAAGTAGGTATTTTTTATCTAGATATAGCATTTTCCCCACAAATTAACTTTGAAAAAACACTTTAAAAGTTTTTGTGCCACTTCCAGTGGGGAATGCTGCACAGTTGTAAACCTCAGAAGCAGTCACAGGATGGATTTAGAGCTGCTGGTCCCATCAGGTTTGCTTCCTTTGTGTGTCTGAGCATGCTTGGAGGAAGGCTGGGGAGGTTAGACTCCACGCTGGCTTTCATCTTCCTGTTTCCGTTTTTCTTCCAGCGATTTCTGTTTCCCCCCATGGATACATTTAACTGCCTTGTGTTTACAGATTTCCTCATGTGTACAGCTTGTGGAAAGCCATATGGCAACTCTCACAGCCAACAGTGGATTTTAGAAGGAAGTTTTCTTTCAATTTTCTACTTGTGAATTCAGATTTTTAAAGCCATGAATGAAATAATTTTGGTTTATATGCAATTGGGAATTTCTATCTAAGTGTTTCAGTTTGCCTCTTCTGGGTGCAGTGCAGCAAGGATGCACTGAAACCTGCAGAAAATCCTTTGTTACCTGGAGATCCGTGTGTGAACAGCTTGGTGTGTGCTCCGAGTAAAACAGAGATGTTCTATTGCATTATGGCAAAGTCAGCCTAAATACAGGCATCTGACTACAGCCTAGTAACTTACAAAGAAGCCTCACACCTCACAGATGATTTTTCAAAGTGCTAAAATTCAGAAAATGCTAACCTGCAAATTACATGCATTCCTGCATTCAGGTGGCTTTGTTAGATTATATCAAAATTATAATTTGATTCCATCATTTTCACAACAGAAGCTATTATGTGTGGAATGCATGTTGCACATTGCCCTGGAGCACAGCTGGTTTGAGTTAGAGGAGTTATCTCTGAAATCTCATCCGTGCCAGCAATTCCCACCCAAGCCCCCCACTGCATACCAGTGCTACTTTAGCTCTTGTAAACACAGGATGATAACTATGTGGTGTTTATCTCCGTGGGATTGATAAGGATTGTTTTACGGGTGCTGCTGGCATGAGGATGGGTAAATGCTAAGAGCCCTGTATTCCTGCAGAGCATTCCTTGTTTTATAGATGTGGTTTGGGCTGCGTCTGAGCTCTGAAGCAGCACTGGGCTGAATGAAGTCCATGATGAATGCTCCCTGTGGGACAATCCAGCCAGGAATGACACAACTGTTTTTAACTGAGGAAAAGCCATCGTTAGGTCTGTTCTGTGTCCTGCAAGAATATGTATACCAAGGGTAGGATTTTGAAACAGAGGCATAGCTCACTTCAGTCTTTTTAAAACTCTATCACTTCTATAGCATCTGCTTAGCCCCAGTTTCCTTCTGTATTTAAATAATAAAAGGAATTACAAACTAAAATTTAGGCCAATTCCTACCTTCTTTATTACTACAAAAAACTGCTGAGTAAACCCTGACTTTTGTGAAGTGCTGCATGTGGGAGAAGAGCTGGAGAAACTGTTTTTCAACATTTCTGGCCCTTTAGAGTCACTGCTTAAACCAAAAAGCTGGAGTTATTCTCCAGTTGCTGGTTGCATTAATGAAAATTGTGGGAAACCCCTTATAAGCATAAGAAAAATAGGCATTGCAGGAGGTTCATTGACAAAGGAAGGTTCTTCCAGTTGCTTTCAGTGTTAAGCATCTGTGCACTGCCATCCAGTGGGCACTGGGAAATTGGCTCTCTGTTGCCCACTGCTAATGGGCTTGTGCTGCATGGAGGTACTTGCCCATTGCATTTTCATAGATTAACAGAATATGCTGAGTTAGAAGGGACCCATCAGGATCATCGAGTCCAGCTCCTGGCCCTGCACAGGACACCCCAAGAATCACACCATGTGCCTCATAGCAATCACACCATGTGCC